CCTGAGTTTTCCCATTTGCTACAGTTCCTACCACTTAGTCTTGTTTCCACCTGGCCCCTTATTCTCACTGATATTTCTATTCAACCTCAGTAGGCAGTTGAGTTTGTGACCTTTGGTTTCATTCAATTACCTCATTAAAAAAAAAAAAAAAAGAGGTACAAACATTTCAGAGACACTGAAATGATATGTGTGGGAAGTGACCTGAGTCTCAAAACAATAGTGATCTCAATACAATGCCTAAATGACCAGCAGAGATCTTGCAGGGTACAAGAAGGATCATGCACTGAATTGAGTTTTAGTCCAGTAACCTTTCCGTAAAGATTTACAGCCTCGAAAACCCTGTACCGGGTCACTATGAGTCGGAACCGACTCCACGGCACATAACCACCACCACCACCACCAGTACCCTTCCCACAGGAGTCCTGGTGAGATGCTGTAGGATAAGCACTGGACTGCAAGGTTGGTTTGAACCTCAAGCGGTTTAAACTCACTAACCACTGCTCAGAAACCCTATTCAGGGTCACTATGGGTCAGAGCCAACTTGACATCACTTAACAGCAACAACCTTTCCCACAAGAAGGTTTAGCCTGTCTGAAATGTAATATCAGTTTCTGCTAAGAAGCCCAATGCTACCTAGCCAGACCTGTTGTTAACTGCAGTTGAGTTAGCGATCTGACTCTTGGCTCTCCCATACCCAGCAGGATTAAGCAGCTGTGCTCCATTGGGTTTTCACTGGCTGATTTTCTGAAGTAGATCTCCAGGCCTTTCTTCCTAACTGTCTTAGTCTGAAGACTACTGGAACCTGTACAACACCATAGTAACACACAAGACTCCATTGGCAACTTGGTGGTGGCTGTACTGGCTAGAAATTGAATGAACACTGGTCTCTGCATGAAAGGCAATATTTCAACAGCTGAGCCATCACTGCCCTCTAGCCAATCTTAAACCTACCCCCAGATAAAAGGGGTTTGTAGATGGTGTTGTTAAATGCCATCTAGTCACTTCTGACTCTTCGCAACCCTGTTTAGGGTTTCCAAGATTGTAAACGTTTACAGAAACAGGAAGATTCATCTTTCTCCTGCAGAGAGCTGGTGGGTTTGAACTGCCAATCTTGTGGTTGGTTAGCAACACCCTTGCTTATGAGTATGATGTACACACCAGAAAAAAATTCAGCCTTGTGAAATCTTTGCAGTACATTACTCTGCTACATTTTATCCAAAATGGACTTTAAATCCTGCTGCCCAGTAGTTTTGTTTTTCCCCTTAAACTGTTTGTTGTGATTTGGGTGAAATTTTACAGAGCAAATGAGTTTTCCATTCAGCATTTCACATACATTTTGTTCTGTGACATTGTTTGCAAAATCCCCATAATGTAACAACACTCTTCCCACTTAATCCCTGTGTTTCCAATTTCCATTTGCCTCCTTTCTTGTTCCTCTCTGCCTTCTGAGCTTTGTCCTTGGCCAAATGCTGCCCTTTGGTTCTCCTATGGTTGCTTGTTCTGAGGAGCACATCTCTGATGTTATTGTTCACCATATGACCCTGTCTATTGCCTGGCTGAAAGTTGACCTACAGGGGGTACCATCAATTTTGCAATTCTGTTTTGTCCACACAATTTCATGATTTCACTTTGGAGGATTGAATCAAGGATTACATCATGTGCTTTGTCTGAAAACCATTTGGGGACATTAAAAAAAACCAAAACTTTTTGTGAATTAAATGAAAGTTTACAGAGAAGATCATTCATTTTGAATTCAATAACTCATTGCTTCATTACAATGCTTGCAGTCATCTCCACGTACCACCAGCTATTCACTTCAACTCTTGGATCCTGCCCTCTGTCTTTCACTACTTTTATTTTTTCTCTGCCAATCTCCCCCTTTTCTATTGCGTCCCCCATCACCCATGTTAACATGCATTAACCTCTACCCAGTGAATAACTTTCCCTTCCCTCCCACCCTGGTAGCCATCATAGAATGTTTCTTCGTTTCATTTATTTTTCTATTTTAAGCTTTTATTCTGAATTGAGCGATAGTTTACATGGAAGAACATGGGTTTTGCACTCATCCTATTGTATTTCGTTTCGCTGAAATTATTACAATCCACTCAGTGCTTCATCATTCAACAGTATTTGCTTCTATTCCCTCTGTTTTTGTTTTTTAATATACACTCAGAAATATATAATAATTTAAACAACCAAAGGGCACATTCTGCAAGCCTGTCTCCTGGCCACCAGCACACAGCCTTTCTCTTCCCATGAGTCTAGGGTCCTCAGCTGCTCTATTTCTCCATGTCATCATCTCTGTCTCCATCTCTGGTGTCGCGTTTCTCTGGTTAGAGTCTCACATTCCACTCATGCTCTTCTCTCTTGATGGTCCTAGGGTCCTCTGTTCCTGGAATTTAAGATTTACTCTCCACTTTAAGTTACAAAACTTCTACCTTTACAGTTGTGACAATCACATTTAGCCGTAATAGTTACTCACTGTTGAATCATACGGATCTTATCCCCATCTCTTTTCACCAGACCTGTCTTGACACAATGAAAACAATTCAGTAGGGATTCTACCTTCCCCTGCACACTCTGAAACTAAACTCCCTCTTGAAAACTTGTAAGCCAGTCACTTTGTGCCCTTATACACCCCCAGTGCTGTGGATTAATGCGCCAGACTGCAAAGCTGTTTGAACTGCAAGATCGGCAGATCAAGCTCATCAGCTGCTCCTCGGAAACCCTATACAGGGTCACTATGGGTCAGAATCAACTTGAGGGCACTTAACAACAATAACAACAACCCCCATTTTAGGTACATTGTCCACCCCTATCTATCCTGTATGCTGAGGGGATAGGTTTAATCATTGATGTGAATACTCCTTACCTCTTGGTTGGTATTTTGAGCTACTATATCCATAACTATAGATCAAGTTCATCAAATTGTAGAAATTTACATTTGTTTTCTTTATCAAATTTCTTTATCTTCCTCTAGTCAAGCTCTAGTCATCGAACCATCAAGGATCAAGGTTAGGTTAAATGGGTACTATCTATAAGTGTGGGCATTCTTGTGCATCTCCCCCTACTTCATATCAGCTGGACACTTCACTGTCAGCTCTGTCTCTCCATGGCTACATAAGTGTCCATGGGTTCAGGAGTTCTCAGGTCTAAAATGTTTCTTTTATCAAGAAAACCTTTTCTCAACATTTACAACAGAGATCCCATACAGTATTTGTCCTTTTGTGATTGACTAATTTCACTCTGTTTAATGTCCTCCTGGTTCATTCATGTTCTGAGGTGTTTTGCAGATTCATCCTTACTCTTCAACAGTGTGTGGTAGTCCATTGTGACATGCTTCCTTTTAAATACAGTTTTTTCACATTAGTATGGGCAGAATTTCTGTGGATCTGTCAACTTGGTGCCACTGAGGTTTGTTTCCATTTCACATATGAGCTAGTCTTCAATCTTCTGGAAAGGTAGAAGTTGAGGAAGTGAAACAGAGATCATGATACCTTTTCATCATCACCAACTTTAATTCATTGGTTGCTTTGATATCTGGCTTCCTGGCCTGAGTCTGTAGGTCAGGGGTCATGTCCAACTCCAGGATGGACAGTATTGGATCTAAGTTATCTGACTGTGCCTTCAGCACCCTAGTGTTCAAGACTGATGGAATATGCAATCTTTTCTCACTGACACTAAGGTCCTGAGGAGCAACAGCTCCATTTGATCAACTAAATTTTTTGGTTTGACTGAGGTGACTAGCACACCCATTGTTAGGGCTTTTCTTTCCCAGAATCCTACTCCATCTCAGGAAGCAAAAGCTTAGGATCTTGCAAACATCTGAGGCATAGGTTGTGATGGAAAAGTCATACATGGTCCAAAAGACAAAGACCTTTGGATTGTTTGGTTACTCACCTGTAGGGTGAACTTGGGGAAATCAAATGAACCCTCAGGTACTTGATTTTCCCACTCATCTCCAAAAACAGTGTTAGATTTAGGGCACAGCTGGTTAGGGCAAACACAAATAGGCTGAACTGAATGAAGCCCAGATACTGTTACAGGATTTCCTGGAAAGATTATGAGTTTGGAGGGAGAATGACAGAGTTCAAGTCTCAGTTCTACCACTAGCTATGTGACTTGGAAAATCTCCTTAAGTCTCACCTTCCTCATCTGTTGTTGTTATGTGCTGTGGAGTTGGTTCTGACTCATAGCGACCCTGTACAGGGTTTCCAAGGCTGTAAATCTTTATGGGAGCAGAAAGCCTCATCTTTCTCCCAGTTAGTTTCGAACTGCTGACCTTGCGGTTCACAGCCCAATTCATAACCAATACGCTACCAGAGGTGCAGAAAATCAAACTTAACGTAGTAGGGTGTGGTAACCAAAGTGAGGTACACAGTAGGCATTCAAATATATAATAATAGTTACCTAGCTTGAATTTCACTATCTGCCAACCACTCTACCTAGCTTGTGTCTTTTACTTTGCTCTACAAGTTTATGAAGGAGGTATCCTCATGATAGGACTTCTGGGGGTGCAATGGTTAAGTGCACCTCTGCTAATCAAAAGATTGGTGATTTGAACTCACCAGTGGCTCTGCAAGAAGAAAACCTGGTCAGCTGCTTCCACAATGGTAGTTGTTGTTAAGTGACATCAAAACAGACAGGTTCAACTCATAGCTACCTTGTATAGGGTTTCTGAGGAGCAGCTGGTGTGTTTGAACTGCCAACCTTGTGGTTCAAATAAACCTTCAGATCCAGTGTTTATCCTACAACACTATACCAGGACTGCCCCATAGACTGTTGTTATTAAGTGCTATTAAGTCAGTTCTGTAACCTGTATAGGGTTTCCGAGGAGCAAGTTGTGGGTTTGAACTGTTAACCTTGGGGTTCACAGCCCAGTGCTGACTCTACAGTACAACACCAGGAGTCCCCATAAAGATTGCGGCCTACAGATGCCTTCCACCATCCTAGCATCCTGTTCGACACCTGTCTACGTACGACCTAGCCCACCTCATTTGAAATGGACCCCAACTGCCCCTGTGCTACTGGTGACTCCTGTGTCTGCGCTGGCTCCTGCAAGTGCAAAGAGTGCAAAGGTACCTCCTGCAAGAAGAGCTGCTGCTTCTGCTGTGCTGCAGGCTGTGCCAAGTGTGCCCAGGGCTGCATCTGCAAAGCGGCATCAGACAAGTGCAGCTATTGTGCCTGATGTGGGAGAGCCCCATCCAGGAGGGAGTAGAGTGGCCTGTAGAAAGATGGAGTTTTTTTCTCATACAATCCTGATCTATGTGTTAACTCCCTTTTTAAATGAAATTTATGAATGATAAAAAAAAAAAAAATCATAGCCTGCAAAACCCTATCATATGGGGTGGCTAAGAGTCAAAACTCTTCTACTTTGTCACACGGGGTTGCTATGAGTCAAAAAATCAATGTGATGGTACCCAACAACCCTCACTATCCCTGCTTTACAGATAAGGAAATTGAGGTTCAGACAGATTAAATTATTTATACAGATTGAAACCAAGAATGTTCTTTACTTTGATAACTATTGTTATAATCATGTCTTTTAGCATTCCCTTTGTCTTCTAACATCCCCTCCCATTTCATCTGCCACATTTACATTAGAATTACAGCGATTGTTTGGATATAATGAATTAATCTCCTCAAATCACTTTATTTCCTTTTATTATTATTTTTTTTCTTTTTAAAGCTTTTATTGTAAATTGAGTGATAGTTTGCAAGGCAGATCATCAATTTTGCACTTTACTAATTGTATTTTGTTTCATTGTAATGAGTACAATCCCCTTCATGTATCAGTATTTGTCTCTATTCCTTTTTTTTTTTAATGTGCACAAAACACACAGACAATACATACATATTCATTTAAATGGCCAAAGAGCACATTTTGCAAGCCAGCCTCTGTTGGCCGGCACACAGCCTTTCTCATTGCATGGTCTAGAGTCTTTAGCTGCTCTCTCTCTCCATGCCATCACCTCTGCCTCTGTCTCTGGTGTCGCTTTTCTCTGGTTAGGATCCCGTACTCTGCCAATGCTCTTTCCTTTTGATGGTCCTGGGATCCTCTGTTCCTGGAATGAAAGATTAATTATTTCACTTTTTGGTTATATATCTTCTACCTTTACAGTTGTGACAACTGCAAATAGTCATGATAATAATTGTTGTTGTTAAGTGCCGTCGAGTCGATTCCGACCCATAGCAACCCTGAACAGGGTTTCCAAGGCTGTAAATCTTTACGGGAGCAGAAAGCCTCATCTTTCTCCCGCGGAGAAGCTGGTAGTTTTGAACTGCTGACCATGTAGTTCCCAGCCCGATTTGTAACCACTACACTACCAGAGCAACTCACTATTAAATCAAAAGAATCTTATCCCCATCTTCCCCCACCCCCTTTCACCAGACCCATTTAGACAAGAGAAAAACTATTCAATGGGTTTCTACCTTCCCCGTCTCACTCTGAAACTATGCATACTCTTGAAAACTTGGAAGCCAGCCATTTCATGCCTTTATAGCCCTTATTTTTGGGAGTGAATGTTTTAAGTTGCCCATCCAATCAACCCTGAGGGCATAGGCTTGATCTTTGATGTGAAGATTCCTTCCCTCTCCATTGGAATTTTGAGTAACTACACCTATAATCAAAGAAACTCTGGTAGGGTAGCGAGTATGAGTTGGGCTAATAACCTCAAGGTCAGCAATTAGAAACTACCAGCCATTATGCAGGAGAAAGATGAGGCTTTCTGCTCCTGTAAAGATTTACAGTCTCGGAAATCCTATGCAGGGTTGCTATGAGCTGTAACTGACTCCAGGGCATACCACCACAACCATAAACAAAGCTTAAGTTCATCAAATTGTAGCAATTTACACTTGCTTCCTGTATTAAACTTCTTTTCCTCTAGCCGAGTTGCGATCACCAAGCCATCCAAACTAGACCAAATAGGTACTATCTGCAAGTTTGAGTGTTCTAACATACCCCGCCTGCTTTACTCTTAGCTCTAGCCCTCAGTGGCTAGGTCAGTGTCCATGGACTCAGGAGTCACCAAGTCTCCCTAAAGTTAGAACCAACCAGCCCTTGCTCTTCTCTCTCTCATCTCAAGGTCAACAAGTGTCTATGGAACAGTGTTGAACTCAGCCCATGTCTTCATTGCTGTCTTTCCCACACTTCCACTTACAAGGAGACCAAGATGGCACTAGTGAGCTTACAAGCCTGCTTGTGTGTTTCCTTTGAGTTTTTTAGTCTTAGAAGGGGGTTTATTCTGACAGACTGACTTTTCTTGCCTTGATGACTTCCTGGTGAACAGCTTGCTTATTTTTGTAATAGCCAAATAGTCTGCCTTTTTTTTTTTTCTTTTCTTTTGTCTGCTGGCCGCCTTTCTTTCAAGAAGTAAGTACCTTCTGTTCCTCTTGCCACTCTGGGTTGGTCTGCATGTCCTTTCAAGTGGGAACTTCCAACCTCAGAATGGTTGGATGGGGCTCAGGATTCCACCTAAGGCCCCATACTCGACAAAGCTTAAACAAGTTGCCATTTCACTGGACAAATTCTAGTACCCGTTTTTGTTATTCCAATCAGTTAGAGGCTGAAGACAGGCTTACAAGCTTTCTATAATGTTATTTCCCAATATTCTTTTATATCCTACTTAACTATCTATTTTACAATTAATTAAAAAATAAAATCTTGTGTTTTTGTGTTAATTATGAAAAAGCTATGTATATTTATTAGACTTCTGGGGGAAAAAATAGCACTTGTTTTCAAACTAGTATATTTCCACGTATAGTGATTTAGCCACAGCTTTATTCCAAAGACCCTGTGTTATACTGTCAGCTGTTGAAGTGGAAGGTACCAGAAGTACTATTTGGTGTCTAAGTTTTTACTTTTCCAAGGTGGGTAAATTCCTACATGAATATGGCCATGCTGGCAACTTGGCTGAGCTTCAATGTGTGGAAAAAGCCCTCTTTATCTAAAGCACACTAACCTTTCTGTTGCTTTCTGTGGAAGCAAATAAAACCTCCTGTGAGCTTCATAAATGTCTAACTTTTCTAAAAAGAGCCTTACAGGGAACGCTGGCTAGTGCAGCCTGCTGGGTCCAAGGACCAGAGAGCTTGCCTGGGAGGGTAGAGGCCATTTGCAGGCCCAAGAACAGATGGCCTTAAAGCAAGCACGGGTGGAAAATTCATAGAATTCTGCCTCCTGTCCCTCCCAGGCAGAAATTTAGCTTTACCAAAGCCCAACAGACAAAGTGGTAATTTTTACTTTCTAGAAATGCATAGAGGGTCCAACTTCACTGTTTAAAAATGGTTTTAACAAAATTTGTTTGTACTTATTTAAAGAATAATACATAGTGTCCTGGAGTCCTGTGTGGCTCTGCAGGGTAATGCATTAGACCACAAGGTCAGTTCAAACCCACCAGCCACTCCTTGGAAACCCTATACAGGGTCATCATGAGTTGGAATCGATTCAATGGCACTTAACAACAATGTGGTGTCCTGATGTGGCACTGTAAGGTAAGCCCTAGACACAAGGTTGGTGGTTCAAGGTTGGAAACTTTATACAAGGTTGCTATGAGTTGGAATGAACTTGATGACACTCAGCAACAACAACAACATGTGCACAATGAGAAGCTGACACTGTATAAAAAGACACACCACATAAAGCAAGCCTCTTTTCTTGTCGATCTCTCCCTACCACAGGCAGCTACTGCCATCTTTCTAGAAATTTCTATGTACACTGAAATATTTATGTATGTGTGTATGCATATATATCCATGTTTCTATAAAAATCTTAAATCCCATAAGGTGTAAGTCACTACTAGGCTCTCAAAACCCATATGTATAAGCACTCATAATATGAATTTATAAAGAGAAAGATGTCTATGTTTGTGAAGCTCTCTAAGAGTAACTATAAGTCATTAGAAACCTGTAAGTCACTGGAAGGCTATTTAGAATGAGAAGTATATGAAGAACATAATAATCTTTAAACTCATTTTGACCTGGCATGATGTAACATAACACAAATATGTTGTTGTTGTTGTTAAGTGTCATCGAGTCAATTCCAACCCATAACAACCCTGTATAGGGTTTCCAAGGAGCAGCTGGTGAGCTTGAACCATCGACCTTACAGTTCAAACGACTTTACAGTCTGACACATTGGCCCACAGTACCACACCAGGATTCCTCAGATAGGATATGTTATTATTCAACATAATTAATCTCCAAGTAAAGTTTTCTAAGCTCTAATCTTGAAGAAAAGATGAATCATTCAGAGGGCCTCGAACCCTGAAGGGAAAACATAACAGTGGTTTTTGATGTCACACTGCTCTTGTTGTGTGGAGCCAAGGTGACAAATTCACATATGAACCCTAAATTTCTGCTCAGCCACTGAGAGAAGGCCAAGATGGAACTGAGATGTTACTCACCGCAGAACTAGGAGGGACCTTCACTGGGTCGGAGTCATAGTTAAGCATTCTCCCGAGACCTCTCATTAAAGGGAAAAACCTGAAGTCTCGAGATTTGGACTCTAAGCACTGAACTAATATTATAATGGTTAATTTTGATTTTCTGGTTGTAAAGGAACATTGTGAGATCTTACTTGCATGCCTTGCATTGAATATATAAGTTTATGCATGAAATTTTCTAAAATAAAATCCTATACCACAATGTATATATGTGTGTATGTATAGGTGCGCTTGACCCAAGCCATGGTATTTTCAATAACCTCATATGCATGCGAAAGCTGGACAGTGAGTAAGGAAGACCAGAGAAGAATTGATGCTTTTGAGTTTTGTTGTCATGGGCTGCCAAAAGAATCAATAGATCCATTTTGGAAGAAGTGTAGCCAGAGTGCTCCTTGGAGGCCAAGATGGCCAAACTTCGTCTCTCATACTTCGGACATATTGTCAGGAGGGACGAATCGCTGGAGAAGGATATCATGTTTAGTAAGGTGGAGAGTCAGAGAAAAAGAAGAAGACCCCCAACGAGATGGATTGGCCAAGAGACAGCATCGATAGACTCAAACGTGGTAACAGTAGTGAGGTTGTCCCAGGATCAGTCAGTGCTTTGTTCTGCTGTGCATAAGGTCGCTATGACTCAGTACCAACTCAATGGCACCTAACAACAACAACAACAACATAGATGTGTATGTATACATATTCCTACACCACCTTTGCTTTTTCACTTAACTGTACCTCTTGGCATCTTTCTCTATCCACAC